TTAGCTCGAATTTCTTCTTGCTGCTTAGCCAGAGCTTCTTGAAGCATTTGAGCTAGCTGATCAGGAGTGATGGTGAATGCCTCGCGGGTTAGTCCCATATTAGACATTATTTCGACTGAAGCGACTGCAGAGTAAGCGTCCGATACTTCATCATCTGAGGATATTCCTTTATGCATCCTTTGATAATTCCTATGTCTGATCGTTCCCATTTGGAGCTGAGTTATACACTGGGATATCCTCGGATAAGAGTCGGGACTGGAGTTAGTCGAGCACCATTTTGACTTTCCTTTTTCATTTATCAGCCATATTAATGCTGACTTCTGGGAATTCGGCTGATCTTTTCTTGCGAAAGCATCTTGATTTGGGCTTTCACGCTTCGGAGGAAAGCCTTTGCAATACCAAGAACCTTTGTGGATCGGTCTTGGAATAGCTACACTCTGATAATACTACTCTGATAAGCCTCTCGCATGGACAATGAGAGCTTGTCTCTCGAATAGTCCTCTTTCGAGATTTCTTCACACCCCCAGCCTGATAGTACAACTCATTAGTATATGTTGTCTAAAAAATTACTGCTGATAGCTGATCCCTATCAAATAGCGATGAAGAAAGTTATAATCTGATGGCTTTCAGAAGACTACAATTTGTAAGCTTTCATGTAGATCGATGAAAGCTCTAATTCAATAGCGAGAGTTACAATATGACGACTCTCATATTTCATGGAGCTAAAGCAAATATTACAAAATGATAATATTTGTAACGCTCTGACAAAAGAGATTACAAGTTAACGATCTCTTCAGTCCAAGATGCATAACTAATCTCTGCATCGCAGAAATGAAATGCAAGTGGCCTCGTTCCAGAGGCAAAGCAATGCAACCACTGCGTAATCTAACTACAAACGCAGCTCAAACCCAGCCACAAATACAGCTCAAATCTAGCTGCTAACGCAAGTTCCAAACGTTGCTGATGCAGCTTCCAGATGCTGTCGATGCAGCTTCCAGACATTGCAAACACATCTTTCCAACGCTGCGCTCGAACGCAATATTCGTGCCCATAACACAATTTTTGCGTTTGACTCGTTCAAACATGACCTGAACGGTTTCAAAACCATTTTCTACGATCGTGCCCATAACGCAATATACGCTGTTGTACGATCATCTGGAAGCATATCCGGAATAAGGAGATAAAACCTATTACTGTAGAACGATTGAGTAAGGAAGTTGAACCCACATGTAACTGTGCGAACGTTACAAGAGTTTTGTTATTTCATGTAGCCGGAATAGGGAGATAAAATATATTGCCGTAGAGCGATTGAGTAAGAACCTTACAAAAGTATCACTATTGTATGTGGTGATGCATACATATGTACAATGTGTAGTATGTTTCTATGTAGTTTACTCATGAGTAGAGTACACAATTTGGTACATGATGCGCATGATATAGTTTATGATGATATTTGAGCAGGTTGACTTTTCCTTATGAGTTTTCTAGCTACCTAAGGGTAGTCTGAGATTTAGACAATTGTTTAATAATAATTTCCATATCGAGTATGCCAGCTAACTGAGGGTAGTCTGAGATTATGAAAATGGTTCCTTTTGGTTGAGGTTTGAAGAGTTTTCCTTTATGTAATGTTTTCATTCATAGGATTGGAATTAGTATTTAGACATCCATAATTTGAGACATGGTATATATATGAGGGTTTTTTTGTTTTGATTATTTCGCTCGACGTACTAATTCTCGTGTTGTGGTCTCTAAATACTAGTCTTCATTTAGCATTTTATGAATGATTTTATACTTATATGTATTGATTCTTGTAGGTGTCTAAAATTGCCTATGAGAGCCCACACGAAACTCGAAGCAATGAATTGGCGAGACAAGAAGACTCACCTAAGCAGCTCGTGCGCGCCGGTCAACGCGCGTACGTCAACCAGCTCGTGCGCGTCGGTCAACGCGCGCACGCCAATTAGTCCGCACGCATCGATCAACACGCGTATATTAACTAAAGCGCGTTCGATGATCGGTCTTGCGGCGAAGCATACAAGTCAACAAATCGGTCAAACACGCGAAAAGAGAAAATCTCGGAAGAAAGGGAACATAAAAGAATGAGTCGGCAAAACTGCGCGAGCGTAGGACGGAATAAACCGACCCGCGCAAGCGCGGGACGGATCAATCTGACCTGCACAAGTGCAGGTCGGATCAATCTGACCTGCACAAGTGCAGGTCGGATCTGATCCGACCCGCACAAGTGCAGGCGGATCTGATCCGACCCGCACAAGTGCAGGTCGGATCTGATCCGACCCGCACAAGTGCAGGTCGGATCTACCCGACCCGCGCAAGTGCAGGTCGGATCAATCCGACCCGCGCAAGCGCAGTACGGAACCCGAAACACGTTTTGACGGTTTTGATGCTGTTTTTTGCAGGATTTATCTATTCCAGGGGTTTCTATCTGACTTGATATCATCCCCAAACGTGGTTAGGCTGTTGTTAACTGAAGATAGAGCCAAATCACTTGTTCTCATCCAAATAACCACTTCCGAAGCCCTATAAATACAAGCCTAGGGCCTCCTTTTAGCGGGGACGAATATTTATCAAGACGTGGAGGTGCTGCTGGATTGAGGAGTCAAGGAGCACGAATTTCAGCGAAGGCAAATCAGATCCCGGCGAACTTCAGCATAAAGAAGGGACGTCGGGCCGTCAAGGAGCACGAATTTCAACGATGTATATATAAATGTTATCAATTAAACTCTATTATCAAAATTTTGAGAATGCTATTTAAGAGGACTAATTTCTAAGAAAAACAATTCTCTCTAAAACATATTTTTTTATATCAATAGAAATACAACTATTATATATAAAGCTAAACTAATTTCCAAGAGAACTACATCTTTTGCTTGTTTTTCTTGAATCAGATTACATTTGCATCTAAAGCCAAGAAAGCAAGATGTAAAAAATAATTGTGATATGCGAATACTTTAAGGTAATAGCAAAATTGACCAATATCATAATGTATCATTTATGTTGATAAATTCTCAAGCTAATAAGAAAAGTAGACATTTATAGAAATAAATAATTAGTTTCTTGAGAAGCTCTTAAAAAAATCTTAAAAGCACTTGATGTGGAACCATAAAATTCTATCCATCATAAATTCATGTTGGGTATAATAGCTGAAATCGATGGATCCCAACCAAATTCTTTCTGTTTATATGAACTGGAAAATAAAGGAAAAATTAAGGTCAACGTGGGGAAAGTTGTTACCTTGATTTTTAGATAGAGGAGCCATAGCTGAGAGATTCTTACTACAGTGTTTGAAATCGAGATTAAGTTCAAATTAAAATTTTAAAACCTGAAATTAGAAAAAGGGGAAAAAGATAATTCGTACAAATAGCGAATAATTCCAATCACAAAAAATATCAATTCATTCCAATCAAGCTCTCAAGTTTGTTACAGTTTTTCAACACTAAAAGGATCAACTTAAAGCTATAATGTGGTTTTTCCTTGGTCCTAAAAGAACATACTACCTAAATAAGCAATCAAATTTTGCTGAGTAAAGTATAAAAATCAAAATTTGTTGATCGAACCTCCAATTTGATAAAATAAATACCTCGAGATTTTAAGGTGAGCATGGAGTCGTTCTAGATTAAAGACCAAGAGAAAGATAAATCTCCATAAAGATTCTCAAATTGATCTTCTTAACTACAAATCCAAGCAAGTGAGTCAAGAATAAACCTCTCTGCATAAAGCCTACTGAGATTTTAATTGTACAGACCATTCCTGAGATTTTATTTCATCCTGATTAATTGATGCTTGGGCCTTCACCGAACACAGGTCGTTTAAAAAATTTAATTAAAAAAAATCATAAGATGCTCCCAATCCCTCGTCAAACCATCGACCAAAATAAAAGATCCAGCCAATAAGCATAAACAAAATCATTAATGACAGCCAAAATACAAAACATCCTCAAGATCTTCTCATCTCATTGCAATCCCATCGCGATCATGGAGGCGATGACGTTGGCGGCGGCGATGATGGTGGATTTGAGGTCACTGAGGCTGATATTGCCGTCACGGTCGGCATCGAGGACGTCGACGTCCCGACGGATGTTCGACGGGTCGTCGCTGGCGGAGGGGAGGGGGTAGCGGCGG